CCGTTTTGGCTCTGCTCTCCGCCATACCACCGTCAAGATGATTTTGAGCGGCAGTTGCTTTCCTCGTATTTGGTCTGGAAGCGTTTGCTTTCGTGTCGTTGGGAGGGTTGCGTTTTGACCGTTTTGAAGGCAAAGCGTCATCTTTGTCCCCTCCGTCGATGGAATCGCTATGTCGTTTCTTTGCAACTTGGTTTCGACAAACTATCGCCCCTGGCAGATCAGATGGCTGCCTTTCGTACACAACACCTCTGGAAGCGTCTGACTGATCGTCACATAGAGCCGCTTCTATGTCAATCATCCATTTATAAATCCAGTCCCAACGAGGATTGATAGTTTCGCGGAAATCCAGGTAGGTTCCCCTTGCTCTCAGAATTTTACGCCACTCTGTGCTGAGATATTCGTGTCGCGCTTTCCAGAAGGCAAGGTCCTCTGGCAATGGGCTGCCATCGCTCATTATTAGGTCGACTTGGCGTCCCCGAACGCGTACGCGGGGCTCCTGTCCCTTGATAATGTCCATACCTTCTTTCCCTTGCTCTCTGAGATATCTCATAAAGTCGGCGACCTCGTCTTTCCAACGTTTCAGACGTGCGACGGGTTCGCGCCAACGTGGGTCACTGGCGAGTGAGCTATAAAAGGTTACGACCGAACGCGATCCGGAGTGAAGCCCGGACCAGGTGCTAGAAGAGCCTGCTGAATGTGTAGCTGCATTCTCATCCGCGGTCATGGTGCAGTGCTTAAAGGGCAAGACAAATGATGATGGCCTAAAGTAACTAGCACAACGGTGATGGAAACGACGGGGTTGGTGGTGGTCACGCTGACAAGGCATGATTAGGTACGTGCATGGATGCTTAGCTTAGTCATTCGATTTGCGAACCACGTTGCCAGGCCAGATACTTCCTGCGCCGTAATATTGTTTGATGTATCTTATTGACCAATCAACCATATCGTCTACGCGCCGCTTGCTTTTTTTAGGTAACAAAACTGCATCAGTTGCAGCTTGAAAAAAGATTGGGTTAACCCGCGCGTGCCCGCACCCACTCACCCACTGAGAGTTGGCGCGGGCACGTCCTTGGCTACATTTAAGCGCTCGCGTTACTAAGGATTGGGCTTTAAGGCTCCGATGCCATACCTGGCGGATGGATGGCAATAAAAGGAGACCACCCCTTTCTATGTTTCTTTCTATGATTCTGTCAAGTCCAAGGACCCCCAGTGTTTTACGCACACTCGACTCTTCGTTTCATCAGCCACTCATAATACTGAAAACACTATGGCGTGGACCATTATCTCTATACGTGCACCGTCGTGCGTTGTCGATGATCCTCACAACGCTATATTTCGCACAAGCGATGACATAGAGTACACCGAAGATGATTTTTCCGCCAAGAGCATTACTGAGCAAAGCGACCATGGTACACCCGCTCCAACGTCTCTCCCTCCTGATGTCACACTTGCCTTGACTACGGATCATTTTCCGAAGGATCCTAGTGTCGGCTTCGTCTTCGGAACAGACAGGGACAGATGTGATATACTCCTTCCCTCACTCTCGGAGTTTGGCATTAGCAAAAGGCAGTTTGCTATTACGTTTCAGACGACGACTGGGGCTGTTCTTCTTCGAAACTTGTCTAAGCAGCGAACAATAATTATTCTGCGAGGCGTTGGTCGGCGAATTAGACTAAAGGAGCAGAGGGTTCTTCCTCAGGGAGGCTCAATTGTGTGCTTTTTTGGGCTAGATCTAGAGTTCAATCGGACTTGGGGATACGACGATATGTCCCACCTCTACATTGCTTTTCTTGACAGACTCGCAAAGTCAATTCCGAATCTTGAAGCATTACGCCTCTTGACCGCGACAGAACCGTCCGCGACAGAACCGTCCGCGAGGACATCTTTCAGCCAGGCACGAAGCGTCTACGGGTCCGAACGTTGTATTGGGTCTGGGGACTCCGCGAGAGTTTTCCGGGCGATGCACAGGCAAACCGGTGATTTGGTCGCGATTAAACGCTATCGCGAAGAGACGAGCTCAGCTACATTCTTTAAGGAGGCTAGTATATTCTGCACGCTCAAAGACGTACGCTTCAACTGGTGAATTTTGCGGTCTTTCTCTAACACCTTGCAGAGACATATTCTTACCTTTCACGAGTTTAACGTTAAAAATGGAGTAGCCGAGCTCATTATGGAGTACGCTGTGTTCGGTAGTCTGGTCAAGCCAATCAGATATAATAAGCTTACCGTGGAGGAAGCCTGCACGACTACCAAGCACACCCTCTTAGCGCTGCAATATCTACACGGCAAGGGCATTACCCATCGGGACATTAATCCGGCCAATATACTCATCACGACTCGTAACCCTTTTCACGCCAAGATTGCCGACTTCAGTGTATCTAGCCAGGCTGAGCAGCTCAACACGTTTTGCGGCACGAAACGCTATCTCGCTCCCGAAGTCCATCGACCACCTTACACAGCCAAGGTTGACATTTGGTCCGTAGGAGTCGTGGTGATGTATCTCTGGGGACTTCTTCCCAGGAATGGACACGATTCGTGGACACCCAGGCAGGGACCCGGCTCGTGGACAGAGCAAATTGTGGCGCGTGCGAGGGATGTATCGAATATTACGACGGAATTATTGAACATGTGCTTGCAACTTGACCCAGAGAACAGAGCCACCGCTGAGCAATGCCTCCAACTACCTTTGTTTCATAACGAGGGCGGTGGGGGGGAAGGAGGGGCCCCTTTCGTAAATCATCTTGATGACGGCGTGAGACGTGAGCCTCCGCACCTACCTGATCAACAGCGACAAGCGCCTTTGGCGCCCAGCTACGACTTGCCGCCCGAAGCGTTAGACGTCTTGCGCCCAGCGACCGCCAATGCTGCGTTTGCAGCTTGGCAAGGCGAGGGTGTAGCGGCTGTGGGGCTCGATAACATCATTCCAGACACTGCGGCGTGCAACATGCAGGGGAGACCATTGGACCTACCTGCACAGAGAGAAGAGCATCCAGTGTGGAACGGTGATGCCTTGGAACCTTTTCTGCCGCATGGAGAAGGGTGGATACCTGCATTTGATCTGCAATTGGAGGGTTGGGATGGTGGTGAGAACTTTGTTTCCCTTGAAGGAATTCCCACCATGAACCCGATCAACGTGAACGCAGAAGCAATCGGTCCAGGCGCCAAGGACAACGAGACCCTTGTTGCCAGAGGTATAATTTACCACTTTTTCGACTGGCGCGGAACAGAAATTGCGCACATCCCGGATCAAGCTATGGTCAACGTTACGCATATGGTGGCGACAGCTGGCCTGCGTTTTTGCCAAATTCGAGGTGCGCAGTTCCAAGAGTTGATCAAAGATAAAAAACGTGTCATTACGGGCATCAACAGAATTAGAGGGACATATATGCCTTATAGCAACGCTATAGACGTATGTGTCCAGCTCAGGATTGATACGAGCGGTCTGCCCAGTTTTCTATCATAGGTACTTGTTGATTCAGGCAGCGCATCAGGCAGGTAGTAAACCTCGAGTCCAAAAGGGTCTGACCGTGGTGGATGCGCTACGGTCAATGCTTTAGTAGTTGAGTGGTCTCAATCAACACAACAGCCAGTCAATTAACAGCCAGCCTTGACTAACAGTTGATTAGCAGCAAACTAACTAGCAGCTAGTCAATTAACAGCCAGTTAATTAGTAATTGAGCTAGTTATTTAATACACTGACTGTCGGTTTAACTGGCTGCTGGGTGATTGGCTGCTGGGAGACTGGCTCTTGATCAAGACTGGCTCTTGATCAAGACTGGCTACCGGAACCCCAGAGTTCCATCACCATGACTCCTATGGACCAAATGTCAACCTTTGCTGTGTAAGGGGTGTCTATGCTGTCCGCGCGCCTGTGTAACACCCGTCCGTGAAGAGGTGTGTGTGTGTGTGTGTGTGTGGCACGTGGAATTAAATTCTTGGCCTCAACCTCGCCCTTCACGCCGCTCCAACCCAACACTCTCACCAAACATGTCCATCATTTCGAAACTGTTGTCTCGCCTTGGTCGCAGGGCGCCGTTGCGACCACGCGTATATGCCAACCCCAACTTTTGTCAGAATCCCACCCGAAACAAAAGGTCGAGGAGGAGAACTTTGCCTGACTATCTTGCAGCGCGTTACTACCCCCGTGTAGATTGGCCAAGTGTTTGCCGACCGGTATCAGGTAGTTGGGAAGCTTGGCTTTGGAGCTACCTCGACCGTCTGGCTAGTACACGATCTCTGGTATTTTCAGCTACGATGCTTCTAGAATCTGATCTAAAACCGAATTCTTACATGAGATGGAAAGCCAGGACCAACATGTCGCCCTCAAAGTCTTTATACGCTCCCAGGCGCTTGGTGACGCTGTTAAAAATGAAACATCCATGTATAAGCGCATAGAGCAGCACCCGTCTAATCATGCAGGTCGGAATGCCATCAGAACTTTGGTGGACTCCTTTCAAGTAAGCGGGCCAGATGGACAACACTTGGTCCTCGCCCATCCACCTCTGAGTGACAGCCTCGAGGTAGGCATCCGTCGCAGTTCCATCAAAAGGCTTCCTCCCTGGGGCCTACGCCATGTCCTCAAAAACATACTCCTTGCCCTTGACTATTTTGCATGCCGAGTGTCAAATCATTCACACCGGTAAAGGGAACCCCCCCCCCCTTACGCCCTGTGTATAATACCCCCAAAAAAAGACTGACTGTCTGGAACAGATATCAAGGCTGATAATATCATGTTTCGCATTACTGATCCTTCCATCTTGACCGAATTTGCGGAGCAAGAACTCCAGGATCCCTGCCCTCGCAAGGAGCTAGAAGGAGGAAGAACTATCTACACATCTCGGGCATTTAATTTCTCAGACAAGGTTGGCCCGCTAGTTTTATGTAACTTTGGTGCTGCAGTCTTTGCAGACGGCGAAAACGTTGCCTGCGTACAGGCCCAGGTCTACCGGGCACCCGAGGTGGTTCTAAAATGTCACTGGAATCACAAAATTGACATCTGGAATGTTGGGTGTATGGCAAGTCCTCCGCCCAAAATGAGTCCTTTTTTTCAACTTATTCTAATCTACAATTCAGGCCTGGAATCTGTTTGAGGGCTACCTATTATTCCACGGCATCGACCCGCAACATCTCGAGTATCGTAGGAGGGCCCATCTCGCTGAACTCATCGGCTTGTTAGAGCCTCCGCCAAAAGATCTCATTGCACGGGGGCCAGCTCAGCAGTAAATTCTTCTCATATCAAGGCAAGTAGTCCCCATGCGCAATACATCCATTCTTTCTGGGTGCGTCTGACAAGGTCAACCTGCTAGGCACATATATAGGAGGAATTCAGTTACCACCCCCCAAAGCCGCTAGAAGAGCTGGACGCACATCTTTCTGGGGACGACAAGAGACAATTCCTGGAGTTCATGCGCAAGATGCTCCAGTGGGCTCCGGAACAGCGAAGTACCGCGAACGAGCTGTTATGCGACGACTGGCTACAGGAGAACCAATAAGCGACATACCGTTGCTGAAGAAAGCGACATCACCCGTTTCTCTGCCACATTTGGTATGCAATTGATTCCAACCCATATTTGCCAGTCCATCTTTGGCGGAACCCCTCTCACGAGTGGGATCAAGATTTTAGGCCAGATGAACGTCTTCACTTCAGCCATAAATCACACGCATTCCCCGCCCGAGTCGATGTCTGTGAAAAAGACCCGAGCACTAAAGGTCGCTGCCAGTCTTCTCCTTCTCCTCAATAATTGTCAATAAACCAGTCGCAGTTACGCTTCCAGTTCTTCAATGACAAAATGTGCATACTTGATACATCTATTTTCATGCTGCCCTGCCTCCCCCAAAAGTGTCACCAAGCTGCCAAGATCGATGCATGACTTTAGCTTCAGCTTTGGTGGGTATATTCATTTTCTCGCTTATGATGGATACGTCACGTTGTATTCGAGTACATGAGGAAATATATAAGAAAAGAAGAGAAAGACAAGAATAAGAACAAGGACAAAAACAACTACGAGGTTAATGAAAAACGCCCGACTTGATAGACAACATACATCTGGGTGTGTGGGAGTGAGGTGTGACTGTTTGCCTTTCAACCGTTTTTGCAACGGGTGCCATAAAAGAAAAACTCGCGTGCTATAAAACCCGGCAATGCCTAGAACTACGACCATGTCGCTTTCAGCATGCCTTCTTCCCTCCCTTTCCCTTTGTACTTTGCATCTATTCCAACTATCATAATGAACCAGCCCTGCCTCCACCTCATCCACGCTTCTTTCGAGTCGCTGACGACCATGTCAACGACATCGTGGGCCGTTTCGTGATGGGTGTCTTGACGGCCTGTTCCGACGAGCAGCGCTTGTGGCCACGCACGGCAACTTTGGCTGCTGTCGTCGCCGTCGCTGTCGCCGTTTCTGTTGCTACCGCTATCGCCGCGTCTTCTGGCACGGCATGTGGCGCGGAAAGTTCCTTGAGCCGTAGAGAGCCCTACTTCTTCATGCCCAGAAAGTTTCTCCGCTTCTTTTCCTTGTGCAGCTTGACCTCGGGCGGTGGCGGTAGCGAGGGCGGCGCTGCGGGCGGTCCCCCACCGTTGCTTGGTGTTACCGGTAGTGCGTGGTTCAAGCTCATGTTGCTCATGGCCTGTGTGGGCGGCGCGGGTGCCTTGCGCGGAGCATTGCTTTGCCCGGGCCGGCCCGGAAGACCGCCTTGGAGCGGCGGTACGCGACCACCACCAGGACCTTGTTGCGGTGGTGCTTGCCCTGGTGGCGGTGCCATACCGCGGGGAGGCGCAGGGCGCTCTAGTAGATGTGCTGGTGCGCGCGGCTTCGGTCTATCCAGCGGTAGGTCGAGTTGGCGCTTGTCGCGGCTCAGGTCGCCAACTTGGCGAATGAAGAATTGCGGTGTCAGCATGTGCGACGTGGTCAGGATTATGTCGCGGCTGTTTTGCTGACCGACGTCGTAGCAGACACGGCTTTCGCTATACGTCGCACCACCAGCCACGAATACAATGATGCGCTGCTTATTTTCGGGCTGCCGACGTCCCGCAGCTGCCCAGTTTGGTCGTCCCGCTCGAAGAGAGGTACCTTGTGCTGCCAACAGTTCCTCATTAGGGTCCAGTGGTGGCTTCACATACGGGAATATGCCTTGATCTAACGTGCCCTTTACCAGATTCTCGAGCAGAGGCTTTAGCGCCGGATCAAAACGAGACAAAAACGACTCTTCGTTGAGCTGAGCCGCTTTTACATCTAGTGGGAACAAGGGCGTATATGGACGTAGCTGCTGTTTGAGCTGATGATTGACCGCGCCGCCTAGCAACTCGAGGTTGGTAATAAATTCACCATCCTGAACAGGTAGACCAGCATGCGTCAGGAGCCTGTTGACATCCTCCATAATGACACCTCCGCGGAAGAGAATGTACATGGTAATTAGACGCAGTCTATCCATGGGACGAATAGCCTCGTCATCGAGTAGTCTGACAATGGATTCCAAAACGTTCTTGGGCTTGCGAAATTCGTCGTCGAAACCCGTGGCGAGGGTCTGTTCCGCCGAGGCAAGATCGGGTAGCTTGTTGTGTTGGAAAATGTTCATACACTCTTGTGCCATGGTAAGGTGCAGAGAGTACGCCCCTTTCATCTCTTGAAACTGTGGTAAGCCGGCCAGCATGTCTCGAATTGCGCTCAGATTCGTGGGATCGGCGTCTTCGTTGGTGAAGTGAGAGTTCTCGCGGAGGAACTTTTGAAAGTCGTTCATAAGTTTATCAATCGTGTCCTTCATGTGACGGTGGCGGTTGTCGACCCAAACCTTGTCCTTTTCGGAGAGCTCCATGTCTTTTTCTTCAGCTTCGTCTGTGTTTGCATTGATGACTGTGTGATATGTAACCTTGTCGCCTTCTTTAATGGGCAGTAGATCGTGCGCCATTGCTTGGTACGAGAATTCGTGGACTAGGGGAGCCATCAAGTCCATAGAACGGTCAGTGATGAGCAAGATGCCCTGGGGTCGGTTCGTTTGGGGTGGAAAATTTTTATTATATTGGGCGTAGCCGTCGAGCTCTTCTTGCACGAAGCGCGCCAGGTGGCCACATAATACGCTCGCTTCGTGCGTCGCATTGCGAGGTTGATAGAAGCGGACTTTGGGGTATTCTCCCAGGGTGATGCATACTCCGGCAATCTGAGTTTGACTTGTGATTAGATTGAATATGCTTCAGTAGTCGCATATATTTGGTCCAACATACCCTTTGAGCCAGATTTTGCATGTGCTTGGGGACGAGGCTATTGCACGCAGGGTGATATAGCATGGGGAAGCTCCATGGATCGCGAAAGGTGACGAGGTGCGACTCGCGGGGGTAGAAATCGCTGAAAAGCGTCTTGGAGCTGGCCCGTAGCTGACGAATGCCGGGAAAGTCGTCAATGCGCCGGCGCAGGCCCGGCTCGAGCAAATTGGTCCAGACGAGATATGCCCTGCGGTAGCGGCGGACTTGAAAGTCTGCGAGGAGGCAGTCGACAATATGCGCGTCGGGGCTCAGGACGTAGACGGCGTCCATATCGGGGTTTGGTTCGCGGCGCTCCTCGATGCGCTCGATGGCTGCGAGACAGAAGGCGGGCGGTTAGCTGATGGCGGTGGGGGCGGACGGCTCGGTTGGGAGGAGTTACGAACTGGCAATGTTGTTGTTGAGGATGTCATCTTCCTTGATGCAGTTGTCGAGTATCTTATGAGAGTGCTCGTCGACGATGAGACATTTCCACTGCGTGTCTGCTGTCAGCTGAGTGTAGAAGTGAAGGGGGATCGTGACAAGCCATACGTCGCCTTGGGTAATGCTTCGGATCTCGTTGAGGATGACTGGAAGAGCAAGTCAGTCTACGCTTTCGCATGTCCGTGTCGGGGCGAATTAACCATACCGTCGTGCTGTTCCTGAATCACCGAAAGCACCATGTTGTACGTCGGCGAGGGGGCTGCTCTCCCGCGAAGCTCGTAGCTCTATGCTGGTTGGTGGTGAGCCGTGGCTGTGATGTCACGGAGAGGCAGGCGGAGCGCCAGACCAGCAAGAAAACGCCAGAAAGAAGCGCTGATCAGGGCCTAGCCTATTTCCGCAAGTTGGTTCCGTATAAGGCTTGGGAAGAAAACAAAGTAGATAAAGCAAGAGAGGGACGAGATGGAAGGACAGATAGGCCGAGGTGATTGGCGGGTATGCAAGATTCAAAATCAGGAGCTGCCTTTAGGAACCAGGTTTGGCGGGGTTGTACGGAGTACAGCGTCATGGCCTGGGCGGGTTGAGGCCACCCAACTGACCCCCCCATCCCCCCCAAAACCCCCGGACTAGTACGTGCGCAAGGACACCAACCAGCCACATGCAAGCTTAAAGCGGCCAGCTAAACATTATTTATATTATTTAGGGGATTTCTGCAAACTCAAGGTCCACAGTGGGTATCTATGTAGCTCGGCATGCATCGTCGGCGCCTGCCATGCGCCACGCTGTTCTGAGCACCAGTTTTAACAGACTTCGATGAGGTCACCACCAAGCTCCAAAGCTCTGACCGAGGCCGACACAGCTGGCATAGCTGTCACAGTAAATGGCCCGAAATTGGAAGACCAAGTAAATCTTTGAGTGAGAATCATTCACCTCTCCATGGGCATGTCATGTCTAATCCTCAACTGAAACGCTTGTATCAACTAATCATGATCCTCGCCGTCTCGCGTCACCTACAGCGGCAATCTACCCCAACAGCACCACTACACATGACCATGTTTATGCCCGTCATGACCCGAGCGCTTCCCTACTCCCACTCCTTTCCGTCTCCTCTGAGATACTTGTCTAAATCCTGCCGTCCGTAAATCTCCGCCTGGAACCGCGCCGCCTTCTGCCGCTCCTCCGCCGCCCGCGCCTTGCGCTCCTTGGCCGTCAACTGCCGCCTCGCCTCTCTGGCCTCCTCGTCGGCCTTCTTCTCCGCCTCCGTCTTTTCCGGCACCGTCGCGCCCACGCCCAGCACGTCCTCCTTGGGCACCACCTTGATCGGGTACCGCGTGCCCTCGACGCCGACGCGGCCCAGCCCAACCCGCGCGTCCGGGTCCCAGCCCTGCGACGCCAGAGCGCGAAGGCCCATGCGCGACCGGTCCAGCGCCGACGGCGGGTGCGAGTGCGCGACGCTGACCTGATGCGCCAGCGACGCTTCGTGCGCCGCTACCGACGTCGTGATGGGCAGGGAGCAGATCGAGCACAACGTCGGTTCCGGGCGTGGGACGGCCGCAGCCTCGGTGGTGGTGGAACCGGCGTCCGCGTTCTCTGCGGCGCTATTTGGTGTGTCGGCGCTCTTGGTCGTGGAGCTGCTGCCTAAGACGATACTGGCATACAGGTCGCCTACGACGGAGCTGGCAGGTCGCCTCGAAGGGAGCGTAGAAATGTAGTCGTCGGGGTCCTGTGCCCGGACAAACTCGACCCTTTTCCGCTTCAGCCCGGCGCCAAACGGTCGCTTGTGGTGGAGTGGGATTTCATCTTGCTCGTCGTCATCGCTTTCTTCGCTGTACCGCGATCGACGCATTGCCAAACGCCATCTGCCTATGATGAAAGTGCTGATGTGCCGTAAAGGTTTATTGCTCTTCTGAATTTCGTTGCCTAATGCGCCCAGTCGGGGCCCCACTCCAAGGTACAGTAGGGTAGTCGTAAAGTCAGGCAGCAGCAGATGCAAACAATGCCGAAGAGGGTATAATCAAAGAGGCTACTAAATGGGTAGATTTGCGTCTTTAGCCAAGTTTGAGTGGCAATTTATTAAAATTCGGGTTACTGCTCTGTATTGCTTTAGACCATAGGTAGCAAATAGCTTGTTCGTCATCCACCTGGCCCTAGGTGCTGCCCCAGACAACCGTGGCC